TTAGGTGAGAAAATATAAAATTAAAATCTAATTAAAGGCTGCAAACGTAAGTCTAAGTAATAAACACAGATACACAGATACTTAATATTGCCGATATATATTAAAGCAATTTGTTCATTTGGTTCTGTACTTATTTGTTTATTAGAAAGATGCAGACTAATGTTTGGATGTATGATATTCATCTTTAATCCATTACCTTTTAATGTCAGAAAGACCTTACTCAAACTCTTGAAATACTATGACATTGTTGTTTGAATAAAGATTAACAAGCCCAATATGATAAAATTAAATTCCTATTTCCACTAAAGATTTTTCATAATATGTATCATACTTCTACACAATAATTTATAGCCAATAGAAGAATCTTTCAAAGGAAAGAGGTTTTGTTAGCTTAAAATCTTAGTGGTATAGGGTTGAAATATAAGGTTTTCACTGAAGTTTGTTTTTCCTTGTACTCATGAAAAAGTTCTAAAAATGTAAACATTGTTCCAGGTAATTCGTATATTCTGAATGAGTAGCCTTACTACGGTCTTTTCACTGAATCACTGATTCAATACACAAACAAAAATCACATTGCATAAAACAATTACAATTCTAAAGTTCCAACCATCATTATTTATATGAATTATTACATTTCAGAAGTCAAATGTAATGCAGTTTATTTGGATTTACCTATCCTAACAGTGAAAATTTTAATAGAGACAAAAAAGTAAACAAAATAACTTTAGGAGACATTTTAAAATATTTTCTCAGTCAATTAAAATATTTGTTCAATAAAATTAATAGCATTACTTAGGGCCATACAATCAAAATGAGGCCTGCTTAGTTAGGAACCAATACCTTGTTTTAGCAGACAAACCTTAGATGAGTAATCTCTATTACTAAAATATTTATTGGCTCACATACAGGACAGATAAAAATGTTCACTACAAATATAATCTTAGTCTTTCAGACTATGCAAATTACCATGAAAATAATATGAAAAAATAATGACCAAATTTTAAAAATGGTTAGACTTCTCACTAATTCTCTAAGTAGCTCAGGTAGTATTTTTGCATGAAAATAAATGATAAATAAAAAATAAACTGACACAATTGTTTTTTGTTTTTAGAAAATTGATACACTTATGGTTCAATTTTAGAAAGAACAAGCTGTTCACAATATTAGAGAACAATGGTTGGAATAGTTTCAAAATCAATATTGCTTTATGGGAGGTTACAAAAATGGCCACAAATCCTTTCCCTTCCTGTGTGCATCTCCTCCTCTGTGAAACTTTGTTTTCTGTTATGACTGTGGGTTCAGGCATGTGACTTGCTTTGTTCAATGAGATATATTAAAAAAAAAAAAAA